CATTAAAACTTTGTCTTTTTCTTTCAGGATTCTAATTCTTCACTTTCAATGTTCTGGCTAGCTTAGGAATTTCCTCCAAAGTCACTCCATCACTTTAATGGTTACAGTTATCCTGGTAGTTCACTCTCTGTCCTTGAGACTGCATTCGAGCATCTAGCGTTTGAACCATCAAGCACTGTAATATGCCGTGTATGCGTACTAGATACTGCACACTAGTTTCCTTCAACCTCACTCTCAGCTGCTAACGTAGGGCCAGCTTCCTTCCACATTGACTGCTGTTTTTTGTGATGAACAGCATGCAGTTAAATCCAAGCAATTGTTTTCCTGCAATCTACTCCCATCTGCTATAGTTGGGGTGTCCCAGATAGAGATTTCAATTAATTTAATTCACTTGTGGGCGTGGATGTCGCTGGCCGGCCAGATTTTATTGCATATCCCTAGTTGCCCTTGAGAAGGTGGTGGTGAGCTGCTTCTTGAATCGATACAGTCCATGTGTTAAATACTAAAACGTTTCTTTGATAATGCATGCTTCAAGATCTTTCCTTGTTTGTTCTTTGCTTTCAATGTTTATTTCATCTGAGACCTACAGGAATAATTTAAAACTTGTCTGAAAACAGCTGTATACGCTTGTCTTTTTTGTTGTTTTCACACTTCTAACTCTGACCTTGTCTGTGCACACGGACAGACATTTGATTTTTAGATACTGTATGTGATCTGGCAACTTGTGAATCCCAGCATTTCCATGACTTTGCATTTAGCTTTAGAGAAATCAAATTTGCAAAAGTTGTATTCCTACAATATATGAATTGTGACCTTAAACATTTTCACAATAGAAGGAATTCAGGTGAAATGCCTTTGCTGAGTGATTGAAATGTGGAAACATGTCGCAAAAGCAAAATGGATAAGAGGGCCAATCCATGGCTTACAAAGAAAATAAGAGATAGTGGCCAATCTGTATGCTTCTTCCTTAGATCGGATAAGAAAAATAATAAATCTGAGGATTGGGAGCAGTTTAGAATTCAGCAAAGAAGGACCAAGGGATTGATTAAGAAGGCGAAAATAGAGTACGAAAGTAAACTTGCAGGGAACATAAAGACTGACGCTAAGAGTTTCTATAGGTACAAGAAGAGAAAGAGATTGGTAAAGACAAATGTAGGTCCTCTACAGACAGCAATGGGGGAATGTATAATAGGGAACAAAGAAATGGCTGATGAACTGAATATATATTTTGGTTCAGTCTTCACAAAAGAGGACAAAAATCAGACACCAGAATTGTCGGAGGATGCTAAATTTAGTGAGAGGGAAGAACTAGGGAGATCAATATTAGTAGAGAGATGGTGCTAGGAAAATTGTTGGGATTGAAGGCAGGCAAATCCCCAGGGCCTGATAATCTACGTCCCAAAGTACTTAAGGAAGTGGCTCTAGAAATAGTGGATGCATTGGTGGCCATCTTCCAGGATTCTGTAGACTCTGGAACAGTCCTTGCAGTTTGGAGGGTGGCTAATATCACTCCAATATTCAAAAAGGGAGGTAGAGAGAAAACAGGGAATCCTAGACCAGTGAGCCTAATATCGGTAGTGGGGAAAATTCTCGAATCCATTGTGAAGGATTTTGTAGCAGTGCATTTAGAAAGCAGTGGCAGGACCAGACAGAGTCAGCATGGATTTATGAAGGGGAAATCATGCTTGACAAATGTGTTGGAATTCTGTGAAGATGTAATTAGTAGAGTTGGTAAGGAGGGGAGCAGTCGATGTGGTATATTTTGACTTTCAGAAAGAATTTGACAAAGTCCCACATTAGAAATTAATGTGGAAAATTAAAGCGCATGGGACTGGGGAATGTGTACTGAGATGGATAGGAAACTGGTTGGCAGAGAGGAAACAAAGAGTAGGAATTAATGGGTCCTTCTCAAATTGGCAGGCAGTAATTGGTGGGTGCCACAGGGATTAGTGCTGAGACCCCAGCTATTCACAATATATATTAATGATTTGGATGAGGGAACAAATTTTAACATGTCCAAGTTTGCAAATGATACTAAGTTGGGTGGGAGGATGAACTGTGATGAGGATGCAGAGATCCTTCAGCATGATCTGGACAGATTGGGTAAGTGGGCAAAGCAATGGCAGTTGCATTATAATTTGGATAAATGTGAGATTATTCACTTTGGAAGCAAAAACAAGAAGGCAGATTACTACCTGAATGGCTGTAAATTGGGAGAGGGGAGTGTGCAGCAGGACCTGGGTGTCCTTGTGCACCAGTCACTGAAGGTAAGCATGCAGGCGGTAAAGAAGGCAAATGGTATGTTGGCCATCATTGCGAGAGGTTTCGAGTACAGGAGCAGGGATGTTTTGTTGCAGTTATACAGGGCCTTGGTGAGATCACACCTGGAATATTGTGTGCAGTTTTAATATCCTTTTCTGAGGAAGGATGCTGTTGCTCTGGAAAGAGTGCAGCAAAGGTTTACCAGGCTGATTCCAGGGTTGGCGGGTCTGATGTATGAGGAGAGATTGACTAGTATGGGATTGTTTTCATTAGAGTTCAGACGAATGAGGGGGGATCGCATAGAGACTTTTAAAATTGTAACAGGACTAGACAGGCTAGATGCTGGGAGGATGTTCCCGATGGTGGGTGTGTCCAGAACCAGGGGTCACAGTATGAGGATTCAGGGTAGATGGTTTAAGACGGAGATGAGAAGACATTTCTCCACCCAAAGAGTGGTGAGCCTTTGGAATTCATCACCACAGGAAGTAGTTGATGCCAAAACATTGAATGTATTTGAATGGGATCAAAGGTTAGCGGGAGAAAGCAGGGTTAGGTTATTGAGTTGCATGATCAGCCATGATCGTGAAGGATGGCGGAGCAGGCTCAAAGGGCCGAATGGCCTCCTTCTGCTTCTTTCTTCTTTGATTCTATGTTTCTATGGAAATATAGAAAAAAGCAGGAGGATCTGAGATAACAAGGTGTAGAGCTGGATGAACACGGCAGGCCAAGCAGCATCAGAGGAGCAGGAAGGCTGATGTTTCGGGCCTAGACCAGTTCCTACTATCTCAAAAAGCAGGAGGAGGCCATTTGTCTCATCAAGCCTGCTCTGCCAATCAATATGATCATTGGAGTAGCAAATTCTACATTTCAACTCCGTGCTGACTTTCTATTCATATACCCCTTGATGCCTTCAGACTCTAAAAATCTATCTATTTCCTCCTTAAATATATTTACAGTCTAGGCCTCCATCACCTTGTGTGGTAGAGAATTGCACAGGTTCACCACCCTCTGAAGAATTTTCTCCTTATGTCAGTCCTAAATGGTCTATCTCATTTCCTGAAATTGTTACCCTAAGTTTTGGAACCCTCCCCAGACAGGAGATGTTATCGCTGAATTCAATCTATGGACACCTGTCATAATTTTATACTTCTCCATAAGATCTCCTCTTATTCTTCTGAACTCCAGTGACTACAGGTCTAGATGATCCAATCTCTGTTTATATGATAATCCTGCCATTTCATGAATCATTGTGATGAACCTTTGTTACATTCCCTCTATGATGAGTATTCTTGCTTGGGTAAGGAGAACAAAATTACTCCAAGAAATGTGATACCATCCAGGATAAAGCAGCCCATTTGAGTGGATCAACATCCACAAACTTTAACTCTTTTCACCACTGACACTCAGTAGCAGGAGTGTGTATCATCTGCAAGATATACTGCAAAAATTCTCTGAGGTTCCTTCAGCAGCTTCCAAACTCGCAGTCACTACCACCAAGAAAGACAAGGGCAGCAGACAGATGGAAATACCATTACCTGCAAGTTTCCCTTCAAGCCATTCACTATCCTGATTTGGAAATATATTGCTATTCTTTAACTTGCATTAAAGTCCCGGAACTCCTCCTGTAATTCTACTTAGACCAAATGGATTGCAGCAGTTCAAGACAGAAGCTCACCACAACCTTTCTGAGAGCAACTAAGGGTGAGCAATAAAGGCCTAGCCAGTGACGCCCACAACTCATAAATGAATAAGAAAGAGACGTAATCTCATAAGACCCTGTGTAAGTGCAATAAGACATCTTTGGTCCTGTATTCAAATCCCGTTGCAATTAAGGTTAGCACATAAGTGGCTTTCTGTGAGTATTTGAAACAAGTTGCTTAGATACATGTAAGAGAGACCTTGATAAGGATCTGAGCAAGAAGAAAAAGTAGAGATATGCTGATAAGATAATGTAAGCAAAAGTAGGGTAAAGAAGAAGCATGCGTGCAGTATAATTGTCAGCATTATTAAATGGTCTAATTATATCTTATGAATTCTAGAAAGTAATCTTTGTTTCCAATAAATAGAGATATTCTTTGTAGTTTTGTGAGAGCAAAAGTAGACAAGATGTTTTAGAAAAAAGGATTTAGATTTTCTGAATGCAGCAGACGTTGCTTAACTTCCAGTCAGTGTTTTAGCTTTGAATATTATGAATAAAGTGCCCATTAAGTCAATGTACAATAATTAGAGCAGTTATTAAATTTCCATTTAAGATTCTTCTAAAATGTGGATCATAATAGTTTACTTGACTTTATATGTTTTAGGCAAACTAAAGTAATTTTCAGTCGGCAAACTTTGTTTGGGTAAATGTAAAACTTACATTTCCCCTCTCCACCCCTCAAGTATCTTCAGAAGGAGGCAATGTGTCAGCAATGCAAAATAAACTTGTAAAAGGTATCTCTGTTACTGTATCCAGTGCAAAATCTGTAAATAGTGCAATTTAAAGGTAGTATCAGTGGATATTATGCATATTTTCCTTCTGCATTTAGCAGATGAGTGTTTTCAGAAGTATTTATGTAATTTCAAGCTTGAAAAGTCAAAATGTGATGGACTTCACAACTTTTAAAGAAAATTAAATCAAAAACTGTGGGAAGTTCATGTTTAAATTTTGCATTTTAAGCCATATAGATGCATTTCTGCTAGTGACTGATGTGGGAGAAACACTTGTAACATTTGTTTTACACATATCAAAGAAGGTGGTAATTATCTTATAAAGGTATAAGTGCAAACAATGGCCAGCAATTCGTCTCAGTATCTGGAAGCTGAAGCCTGTGCTGGGATGTGACGAGGATATGTATCATGGATAAAGAAGTGGCTGAGAGAACCTCTATTTTACTTGTGGAGATTCATTACTCACTCCCTCTTGGTTCAAAACTCTTCACTTGAAGCAACTCTTCATTCAAATGTGGAGTGCGATCATTTAAAACTTGAACTTAACTTCTATTACCAGAAATCCATTGGTAAGCAGCTTTGAAACTATTTTTATTTTGCTGAAAATACTGTAAATATTGCTCATCCAAAAGGTATAGAAAACCATTGTTAGGTGATACCTAGATCTGAGATCTTGATTAATCCTAAAATCAAGATTACCACCAGTCACCTGGCAATAGTCTATGTTGAATACACAGCTGGACTCATTAGTTCACTAATGAAGGCCTTCAGAATTTAATGTTGGCTTGCAAAGATGCATGGCAGAAATGTTCTTTAAGTCCGTAACCCAAAAATTGTGCATAGCTATTTCTATTCTGATTTCACGATGTAAGGGCAATGGACTGCTGCATCAAAGGCAAGGGCTGCTACACCAGTAGTGCAAAGGATGAAGATGGGAGGGTGGTGATAAGAGGGAAACGCTCAAAGTCAGATGAATACCAGTCCCCTTGCTATCATATGTTACTCCAGGTCAGAAGCCAAATCTGTCCCCTCCCACAGGACATTCAAGTGGTGGAAAAGGGAACCATTCTAATTCTATTTTGTAATCTTTCCACAGGTCATTAACAAATTCAGATGCTGTTGATGAATGACATGGCAAGGGCGGAGGTGAGGGACGGGTAGTAGCTTCCAGAGTGTTTGGAGAGTGCAGACCATGGCTTTGTTATGCAATTGTCTCAATTTCATCTGCAGATGAAAAGGAGATTGAAAGTTGAATCTGCATTTGTACTCACTTTTCTCTTGAGAGCGAATCGCTGTGTCTCTACCGTTGCTCCAAAGCCAAGTGACACAGTTCTCCACAAGCTGCTCCAGCGTGGACACATTTTACTGGACTTAGGTGAGTGTCTCAGGGCCAGATGAGCTCTGCAGCCTCAGAATCTAGTTTTAAGAAACAGGGATTTTCTGAAGAGCTGGCAAATGTTGTTGCCTTGTCAGGGACGTCGACTACAACAGAGCAGTCAGCCTATGGAGTGTGATTTAATGAAGGCACTGCTGAAGAGGTGCTTACTGATATACATGAGGAATCATGAGTCGACAAATAGTAACATGGAGCTTCTGGACATGTGGCCTCCACTTAAGACATGTTGCACAGGGCATGTTAAGCGTTGCAAAAGCCAGTGCAACAGCTGGTGGCTGCACTGGGAATATACAGCAAATCAATTGGCAGTGAAAGTGAGGGAATAGTCTGGACTTCAACCTTGATGAAAGCTCTGATTTCTGCTCTCAAGGCTTTGAATACCGTGCTGGAACATGCTAACAAGCATAGCTTCTAGTTTCTTGCTGAGGCCTGACACACCCTGAGAACAGCTAACAAACATTATTGGAGCTGAAGATCAAAACACTGGAAGGGCAGCAGGTGTGGCCCAACAGCCGGTTATACTCTGGTTGAAAGTGTCACCTCAAGTTCTGACCTGCCAACAGGACATATGGAACTACCTATAAATGAGCGGCTGCACAAGGCAATACCTTTGCCATTACTGTCTCAACCAATAACAACATTGTTCTATGAATAGACTGTCTTGTACAATGGCAAACCATAGGACCACAACTGATCAGCTCAGCATCTTTTGCCTTGCTCCACCTTTTACAATTCTGAACTTGGTGGAACATAACACACACCATTCTGAATTGGAAATGTATTGCTGTACCATCACCATCACAAGGTCAAAATCTTGGAAGTCCCTCCCTTAACGGAATTGTGAATGCACCTCCAGCCCAAGGACTGCAGGGTTAAAAGAAGGTTTGCTCACCATCACCTTCTTGAGAGTAATAAACAATTGCTTAACTAGCGATGCCTACTTTCCATGCATGGACAAAGCCAAACCGTGACCAAACAGTTAACTTTTTTTTCAGGATCTGAGACAACAAAAGAGTCCCAGTAGACCTAAATTGAGTAAGTAAACTCATCGGTTGGTATCCAGGAGAGTGCACACTGGTCTGGAACAGTTAAATTGCTTAGCAACATCCAAATCAAAATAAATCTCTGGTTAAATGGTCACCCAGTTGTAATGGAGGTCGAAACTGGAACCGCTGTTTCAGTGATTGCAGAAGCAGTATTTCACAAAATTCACTCTGGATTCCAACCCTCAAGTTTGTGCAAGACCTCAGCTAGACTGAACCAGAGAACCTTTACAGATTAAGGGTACAACTTCAGTTCTGGTCTCTTATAAGAAGCAGCTGGTTCAGTTATCACTGAGTGTAGTAAAAGGCTCAGGCCCAAGTATAATGGGGTGAAATTGGTTGAGAAAAATTCACCTAGATTGGCACATTTTTTGATTAGAAAATGGCTGTCTGAGTGAAGTCTTAATTAAATACCCGGATGTTTTTCAAGAAGGTCTGGGGACTATCAAAGGAGCCAAGATCACCTTGCATGTTGACCAGAAAGCAATTCCACAACTCTGCAAGGGCTCACCCGGTGTCATTTGCCTTACGAGCAAAAGTAGAGGCAGAAATCAGAAGGCTGGAAAGTGAAGGAATCATCAAACCAGTCCAGTTTGCGAATTGGCAGCACCAGTCATACCAATTGTGAAGCCCAACGGGCTTTATGGGGATTTTAAACAAACAGTAAATCATTTCTGGCAGCTGGATAAATTCCCAAACATTTGCATAGAGGATTTATACGCAAAGCTGGCAGGGGGTCTGTCCTTCATGAAGCTGGACATTAGCCACACATACTTACAATTGCGGGTAGGTAAGCATTCCCAGGGGTAGTAAAAGCTCATAGATGGCACAATGGAGAGGAATGCCCAATAACGTATGCATCCAGGACTTTGGCTTATGCAGAGCATTAACACATCCAGATAGAGAAGGAAGGTTTGGTGGTCATATTTGGAGACTGGATATTCCACCAATACCTTTGCAGATGTAAATTTGAAATAGTAATGGACTACAAACCCCTGCTGGGTCTACTTAAAGATAATAAGGTAACGCCGCTCATAGCTTCAATCCGAGATCAATGGTGGGATCTAATAGAAAGCGCAGATAATTGCAAGTTTGAACACCATCTAGGAAGCCAAATAGCAAATGCAGATGTATTGATCCGCCTCCCAGTAGCAGATACGCCACCGGTAGTACCACCACTGGAGGAGTCTGTAATGGTTTTTAATTTTCTGGACACAGTTCCAGTCACAAGCTGACAGACTTTAAATGTAGAAAGATATGGTCTTGGAAAAACTGAAACAACTGGTTATGATGGGGGAAACCAAAAGGCTGTCACAACCAGAACTGAAACTTTTTTGAACCCAGAGAGACCAGATCACAGTAGAGGACAACCCATTATTATAGGGAGCAAGAGTGATTGTCCCAAGCAAAGGTTGGTGCCAGATACTGACTGACCCCTACTAGGGGTTTTTAAAATGAGAATGTTTGCGAGAAGTTATGTCTGGTGGCCAGGATTGGATGCAGACAGCCGTGTTGGTGGGGCAGTGCCCAGGGTGCCAATAAGGACAGGAATTACCGCCAGCAGCTGCCACTCATTTGTGGGAATGGCTGAGTAAACCCTGGACTCGGTTACACGTCGACTATGCAGGTCCTTTCATGGGCTCATTGTTCTCAGTCATTGTGGTCACCCACTCAAAGTGGTTGGACGGATATGGAGTTCATTCATCAAACACAAGGATGACGATAGAAAAACTGCGTGTACCTTTTGCAATACACGGACTCCCAGAATTGTTGCTTATGGATAATGGGCCCTCGTTTACCAGCAGGGAATTTGAGAATTTCCCCGATTTACAAGGACAGGTCCATACCATCCATCATCTGATTCTCTGACAGAAAAAGCAATCTATACTTTGAAGGCAGGCTTAAAGACACGACCTACAGCTTCACTAGACACCAAACTGTCCTGGTCCCCATTTGATTATGGGACCCCACCCCTCATGCAACTACAGGGATATCTCCAACAGAGTTGCTAATGGGGAGAAGACTTCATACCAGGTTAAAACTGATCTTCCCGGACCTGGGGTGGAAGGTGAAATAGCATCAGGAACACCAGTGTGGGGCACAAGATTCTGCTAAGCAAGAGAGACTGTTTACTTCAAGAGATGAAGTTTGGCATCAGAGACATAGGAATGGCCATGCATGGGTAAAGCGAGGTCAGGCCCAGTGACACATAAAGTTCGGGTATGTGTGACGGTCTTGAGCAAGCACATGGACCATATGAAAGCTACAAACTCACAAACAGTGCAGGAGCAAAACGTGCCTGGCTCTTCGACAGCCTTTCCGACTGTTCCAGAACCTGTGGGTTCTCCCTCTCTGTCAAACGTTGAAGACACCTCACAATCTCAGATGGTCACAAAGGATGTTGCCACCTCATGCCTTTGTTGCCTGAAGAAGAGAATGAATATCCTCCAAGACACTCCAAGCGCAGGAGGTGGGCCACTGCGCATTACACGCCTCAAGCACAGAACTGGCAGAACCTGACCCCCCAGTGCTACAACACCCCTGGAGGAGCTACAAAATAAAAAGTCTATGTCCTCGGACTTCGGGGAAGGGATGTAGTGATTGTAATGAGGTCAGCCAGGTAGATCTAATCTAATGTGAGATCCCTTATTGGGGATGTTAATCTGGTCCAATCAAGGAACCCTGGCTGACAGATAAGAACAGGAGTGTCAGAGGTTCTCTTCACGCTGAGAGCTGGCTCTGAGGGAGCTGAATCAGTGTCAAGGACTCTCCACGTGTAAATAAAGGGTGACTTTGTAATGGGATATCAGCCTATGTGGAGTTATTTCTCTTCTCTTTCTCATTCTTTCTGTCAAGCTGAGGAGAAGCAGCCTGACTAGAATATTGTGACTACCACCTTGCTGACTGGCTTTTTTGCTGACTACCTTGATTTTGAATTTTATTGCTGCAAAGTAAAACTTTGGTAAATTTTGATTACAGTTCTTTCAATTTTTAAAAAATGAAACCATGCTTGATCCAGGTTTGCAATGCTGATTAATGTTCAATAAAGTAAATAGTAAAAATTTCTATAAATTTAAATTGCCGCAATACACTGTAATGAAATTATACCTCTCAAGGTCCATTTAAGGTTTTATTGGCATTTTTGTAAACATCTGCTCAAATGCCTAAGTAGAGTTTAACTTTCTCCGCCAACGTTTGTATGTGATGTATTCATTTCCGGGTAAATTTACTACTTCGATAAAAAGCCGATATAGTGTGGAGCTAGAGGAACACAGCAGGTCAGGCAGCATCAGAGAAGCAGGAAAGTCAATGTTGCAGGTCAGGACCCTTCATCAGGACTGTTTTTATTTCTGTTTCTGGTTTAAAGTTTTTATTTCTCTTAAAAGCCTTCTTTTTACATAATAAAGTCTTTGAAGGTAAATATTTGTCTTTTCCTCCTTCTTGCAACCTCTGTAGAGACACCCATTTAATAACCCATGTACCACAACCCGCCATCTAATTTCTTCACCTACTCAAGTGACACTATTTGTAAAGACTCCACGTCCTTTAACTGTCAATCCATAGTCCCGGATCATCAGCTTTCATTGGTTCATATCTGCTATCGACCCATACATCGCTGTATGCCAAGATTCAGGCATTCTATGAAAGTACAGTTCTGTAGGACCGAAAGACCAGGGTTGTTTAGGGGGAACCCTTCGATCCATCCATGAACCTGGAGCAGCTGCACAGCATGCAGTACACACTATTCTTTCGTATCTCTCCTTGGCTTTTATCTGTGGGACACGAAATTGTTATAGCCACAGCTTCAAAGAGGCATCTTTATTGTGGAAACTCCAATAGTCCAATACCTTTTATTCTGGACAATGCACTCAACGACAAAGTTAACTGCAATAAGAATGTCACAATAGCTCTTTTCAAATTCACCCCAAAAAAAACCCCACAGGATTCACATGCAAGATGTGCATTGGGGATTGTAGATAATCTAAACTTTTAAAGTGTTAATTTACTGTTGATTGTGATGGGATATCTTGTAATGTGATATGTCGCCATCATTCATGACCCTCCCCCGCATCCCCTGAACTTGGGAAATGGCCAGCAGTCCTATAGAAACCTAATGTCTCCTGCTTTTCCTTTGCACCGAGTGCATTAAATTTACTGAGTTCTCTACTGTACTGAGTAGAAGAGGACAATGATTGCACTTTGACTAGTATTGCACAACCTCCCTGTGAATGCCTGCAGTGCCCTAGACCTGTAAAGGATTGAAGGCCATGGTCACCTCATTTCAATGGTTAATACTTTGTTGAGTGTCGATCAGAGTTTCAAATCATTGATGGACAAGTCTCTAAGACAGCAAGTATCCAGCTTTCTCTAGCTCAATGGTCACATGATGCATTCTTTGGACAACTTCATTAAAGGGTTGTAGACTTTTTTGGTGCTTAGCTGTTTTGCTTGCCTGTTGTCTGTCTCTGGCTTTCTTCACTTTATTTCTCCTTCACCTCTGTGATATTTAATTTTATAAAATATTTTCATGGAATGTGAACATAACTAGCTTGACCAGCAATTTTTTTTTTGTCTATCCCTAATTCCCCATCAGAAGGAGGTGGTGAGCTGCCTTCTTGAGCCACTGCAGTCCTGGGGTGTAGGGACTCTCAGGAATGTTTAAAAGGGAGAACCAAGATTTTGACCCAGCAGCTATTAATGGACAATGATGTAGTTCCAAATCAGAATGCTGTTTAGGTTGGAGGGGCACTTACAGATGGTGATGCTGACCTTGTCCTTCTGGTGGAAGAGGTGATAAATTTCTGCGTCCCCACCTTAATGAATTTCGGGCACGACAGGACGCCGAACTGTTCTTCCACCGTCTTTGCATCCGTGCTCATTTCTTTGGACAAGAGTCCTCTCCCCATCCCACAGACCCCTTTGCCCAACTCCAACACTCTCCTTCCACCTGGACCCCTCCCTCCAGCCTTTTACCTGCACTCGATTTTTTTCATTGAGAACTGTCGACGTGACATCAGTCGCCTCAATTTCACTGCCCCTCTCAACAAATCCAACTATCTTCCTCCGAACTGACTGCACTCCGTGCACTCAGATCTAACCCTGACTTTGTCATCAAGCCTGCCGATAAGGGTGGTGCTGTTGTTGTCTGGCGTACTGACCTCTACCTTGCAGAGGCTGAGCGCCAGCTCTCAGATACCTCCTCCTACCTTCCCCTGGACCATGACCCCATCATGGCACATCAGGCCATTGTATCCACTACGGTTACGGATCTCATTTCATCCGGTGATCTCCCCTCATCTGCTTCCGAGCTAATAGTCCCCCAACCCCGCAAGCTCGTTTGTACCTCCTGCCAAAAATCCACAAACAGGACTGTCCAGGTAGACCCATTGTTTCAGCCTTCTCATGCCCCACAGAAGTCATGTCTTCCTACCTTGACTCAGTCTTCTCCCCCCGGTCCAATCCCTACCCACATACATCCGTGATTCATCTGACGCCTTACGCCGGTTTCAAAGCTTTCAGTTTACTGGCTCCAGCCACCTCCTCTTTACCATGGATGTGCAATCCCTTTACACATCCATTCCTCACCAGGAGGGTCTTAGGGCTCTCCGCTTCTTCCTGGAGCAAAGACCTGAACCATCCCCACCCACCACCACCCTCCTCCGCTTGGCCGAGCTTGTCCTCACCCTCAACAACTTCTCTTTCAACTCTTCTCATTTTCTTCAGGTAAGAGGGGTTGCCATGGGTACCCGCATGGGCCCTAGTTATGCCTGTCTCTTCGTGGTGTATGTGGAACATTCCTTGTTCCAGCCCTATTCTGTCCCCCACCCACAACTCTTTCTCCGATACATCGATGATATCATCGGTGCTGCTTCCATCTCTCGTCTGGAGTTGGAAAACTTCATCAATTTTGCCTCCAATTTCCACCCTGCCCTCACTTTCATCTGGTCTATCTCTGACTCCTCCCTTCCCTTCCTCGACATCTCTGTTTCCATTTCTGGGGATAGACTCGCCACTAATATCCATTACAAACCCACTGACTCCCACAGCTACCTGGACTATACATCTTCACACCCAACTTCCTGTAAAGACTCCATCCCATTCTCAGTTCCTCCGTCTCCGTCGCATATGTTCAGATGAGGCCAACTTCGACAAGGGAGCCTCCGAAATGTCCACCTTCTTCCTCAACCGAGGATTCCCCAGCTCCGTTGTCGACAGGGCCCTCAACCAGGTCTGACCCATCTCCTGCACTTCAGCCCTCACCCCCTCTCTTTACCCCCCGCAACAGCGATAGGGTTCCCCTTATCTTTACCTACCATCCCACCAGCATCCACATCCAGAAGATCATCAGACGCCATTTCCGCCACCTCCAGCAAGATGCCACCACCAGACACATATTCCCCTCCCCTCCCTTGTCTGCCTTCCGCAGGGATCGTTCCCACCAGGACACCCTGGTCCACACTTCCATCACCCCCAACACCTCCCCACAGCCCTACGGCACCTTCCCCTGTAACCGGCAAAGGTGCAACACCTGCGCACTTACCTCCTCCCTCCCCAGAATCCAAGGGCCCAAACATACCTTTCAGGTGAAGCAACACTTCACCTGCACTTCCAAGAATCTAGTCTACTGCATTCGCTGCTCACTATGTGGTCTCCTCTACAATGGGGAAACGAAGCGTAGACTTGGCAACCGCTTCGCAGAACATCTACGTTCTGCTCACAAAAAAGACCCTGAACTACCTGTTGCCTGCCACTTCAATGCACCACCTTGCTCCCTGGCCAACATCTCTGTCTCTGGCTTGCTACAGTGTTCCAGTGAAGCCCAACGCAAGCTGGAGAAACAACACCTCATTTTCCGTTTGGGAACCCTACAGCCCTCTGGACTCAGTATTGAGTTCAATAATTTTAGGGCCTAAACTCTCCCATGTCCCAGCCCCCCACCCCACACACCAGGCCTTGTTACCACATAGCCTGCCACTACACATCCCCTGTTGTTAGTCACTAACAGTCCCCATTAACAACTACTCGCCTTCCCAGCCTGATCGATAGCAACTCCTTTGTCTATCCAACTGTCTTTCTCTCTCTTCGGGCTCTATCCTATCGTTTACTCCCTACCCCATCCACCTCCCTATTTTCTGCATATAAATTGACGTTTTCTCAGCCACCATCAGTTCTGAGGAAGGGTCATCGGACCCGAAACGTTAACTCTGTTTTCTCCTTCACAGATGCTGCCAGACCTGCTGAGCTTTTTCCAGAAACTTTGTTTTTGTTCTTGATTTACAGCATCCACAGTTCTTTGGTTTTTATAAATTTGGAAGGTGCTGTTGAAGGAGTCTTCATGACTTGCTGTACTGCTTCTCTTTCAGATGTGTCCAGTGTCATAAACTGACATCCATATTTTACCATGAGTCTTTATGGTGTTGGTTAAGGGATAGATGTAGGCCAAGTTACCAGGGATAACAACCTTACTGTTCTTGAACATACTGTAATAAGATTTTGTACACCTGTAATAGAACCATGTAGCAAAGGTGAGGAACGGCATGGAGCAGTTGTGCCAAGACCTCCAATAGAAGGCAGTGATAGTGAAGGAGGGCAGCTGGAGCAGTTGTACCGGGACCTCCAGTGGCAGGTGGTGACGGTGAAGAAGAGCGCCAGGCAAGGCAGCTGCAGCATTAGAATTGAGCTGCCCTGAAGAAAATATTGTCTTTGGGGGAAGGAGGCCCCTTGGTGAGAAAGATCAGATAATCAAAGGATTTCCTGAACCAGATGTAAGCCAAAGGTTTAATTCCGTGTAAATACTGATATGCATTTTAAACTTAATTTTCTTTTCTATTTCTAATGACCTGATGCCAGTGGAATAAAGTACCCCTGCTTCATGCTGTTTGGACCATCTGTGTTTATATCTCATATCACATGTCCATCTGAACAGGCTGGTAGGACCTTGGTTTAATGTCTCATCCAAAAGATGACAAATCCACCATTGTAACTTTATGTACTGCACTGGAGTGATGGCTTGATTTCGATGTGTTCATGCCCTGGAGTAGGACTTGAACCTTACTATGTGGTTCATGGGAAAGAGTACCTTCGACTTATCTACAGCTAACAAATCTTATAGATGATATACAATGCCTCCACTGCCAACGCAGCAGCAGCAGCAGTGAATGTTTAAGGTGGCAATAGAGTTCCAACCAAGCAGAGCAGTTTGGTCTGGTTGGTGTTGAGCTTTTTATTTTAATTAATTAATGAGATATGGGTGTTGCTGGTTAGGCTAGCATTTATGGCATATCCATAATTGCCAAAAGGCAGTTAAAAATCAATCACATTGCTATGTATCTGGAGTCATGTGTAGGTCAGATCAGCTTCACTCATCCAGCCAAGTGGTGGACAAGCTTGGGATGCAGGAGTTAAGTACTCCGTGCAAACTTTTCACCTTCTGATCTGCTCTTGTATTTATATTGAGAGTCCAGTTCTGTTTTTGGTCAGTTGGAATCTCTAGGATGTTGATAGTGGGGATGTTAAACAATGGAATGTCATTGAATGTTAAGGGGCGATGGTTAGATACACTCTCGTTGGAAATGATAATTTTCTGGTACTGTATGGCACAGTTGTTACTTGCCACCTATGACTTAACCTGTCTTGCATGTGGGCACTGACTTTTCAATATCTGAGGAGTTATGAATAGTGTTGAACATTATGCGGTCATCAGAATACATACGATGCAGGGAATGTTTGATGAAGCAGCTGACGATGGTTAGTCCAAGACACTGTCTTGTGGAACTCCTACAGTGATGCTGTAGGACTGAGATGATTATGTCCAACAACCTTGACCATGTTCCTTTGTGCTAAATGTGACTGTGACTAGGTGAGAGATTTCCCCCTGATTCCCATTGGCTCTAGCTTTGTGAGGGCTCCTTGATGCCACACTCGGCCAAATACATCTTTGATACCTCTGGAGCTGAGCTCCTTTTTTCTATGTTTGGGCCAGGACTGTAATGAGATCAGGAACTGATTGAGCCTTGCAGAACACAAACACATCATAGACCAAATTAATACTGTGTAAGTGCCACACCATCATGTCATATCTCCAGTTGCCTAACAGTATGCTTTTGCACTTCAATGCTGCACTTTGGTGCACACCAGTAACCATCATTGGGGTGCTGCTGTAAGGATACTTTTAGAGCAGGGGCATTTGCATTCCTCATGGATTGGACCAGACTGCATCTCCAACAGGTCCACCTGCTTTCTTAATGTTCATTTAATCAGCACTTGCCATTCCTTGCCTTTTAGCATTTTGTCCCTTCAGCTGCAGATTCACAGAACTTCTGATTTGCTTTGCATTTTGGCACAGAGATAAGTCCAGGCAACTTGACGTGCTGGTTAGCAGTCATCATTCAAGGAGTTGGGTATGTTGCTGAACAGTTCAGTGCTGTGTCAGCCCCACACCTACAGCATGTGCCAGCAGCCTACGTGGCAAACACACATCATGTGCATCTTTCAAACAGTAGTGTTTCAGGGTCAAAGGGACTAGTCCTTAGTTAACTTGCTAGAAATACTCAGCAGGTTTGGCTACATCTGTGGACAGAAAGCAGAGTTAGCGTTTTGGGTCAAATGTCCCTTCTTCAGCACGCCACTGTTCAGTTCTGAAGAACGGTCACTGGATCTGAAACTTTAACTCTGCTTTTTCTCCACAGTTGCTGGCAGACCTGCAGATTTTTTCCCACCAATTTCTGCTTTTGTGTCAGATTTCCAGCATTCAGACTTAATTACTTAAATATAGTCTTGCGTCAAGTCAAGGAAAGCTGCTGTCAAGAGTTATTTTGGCAGAATCATTAAGGGACACCTCGGTAGAATTAGTCAAGGGGAGCATCCAAAGTCAGTCCAGGGGTTTGGTCACAGACGGATGTCCACTTTGGGCAGCCTTGGTCAAGGTGTCTGTTACAATTAGTGGATT